TTCACCGGGCTGTTAACATTAGAGAAACATAGTTTCACGCTAATCAGGGAAAGCATAAAATAGAAAAGGTGTCATTACCGACCGATCATTAGTAACACGTGCAGAATTGGAATCAAGAAGGTGTTCCTTCCCCCAGAGCCAAGGCGGATGGTTTCAGTTGGAAGGTGCCTTTGATGACGGAGCCATCAGCCCATGGATTGGTGGACAGCCATTTTCTTGGGGGTGGAACTCACTGATTGAAAAATTAGATAATGAAGGGCCGATGAATAAGACCGTGAGAAGTGTAGACGAGCTGGCCAGTGGCTCAATTCCTTTTCTCCCCGAGGAGTCTGTGGGTTTTTGCTGCACAGGTCACCCACGCATCTTCTAGGTGCTTTTCTGGAACAGCTGGAGTTTGATGTGACAGGCGGAGGACACCTTGCTGCCTCAGGCAATGTTTTGCCTTTGACAGATTGCTGAATGACTGGCAAATTAATTTTGGCGCCTTTCCCTAAGTCGTTTAGGCCCCATTCCTTCATTTTTCTGCAGGGAAGTGTTCACATTGCAGTTAAAAATACGTTGACAACACAGATGTGGAGAACAGCATGTACTATTTTAGGAAAGAACTGGAGGCTGGGATGGTTCCATTGTATAGAATAGAAGAGATGCTGTCATTTTCTGAGAGGAAGCCTGAAGTCTTCCAGCTTGAAGCGAGATCGCTGTTACTCCTGCTGACCTCCCCCAAAGTCATGGGCTCCAGGGTTTAGGATTTTGAATCTTGGAGGGTGTTCTGATCTGATATTTCCCCCTTAGGTGCTTTTATACAGAAAGTCTTTCCTGGCCCCTAAACTTTAGCATCACTGCTTTCCTATATTGACCCTGTCATTTCTAACAAGAGGTAATGGTAGGTGATTAAGAACATAAACTCTAGCCCTACCTGGTTTGGCTCAGTGGGTAGAGCATCAGCCTGCAAACTGAAGGGTCCTGGGTTTGATTCTGGTCAAGGGCACAAGCCTGGGGTCGTGGGCTTGATCCCCAGTAGGGGGCGTGCAGGAGGCAGCCAATCAATGATTCTCTCTCATCATCGATGTTTCTATCTCTCTCTCCCTCTCCCTTTCTCTCTGGAAAAAAAAAAATATAAATATATATATATATATATATATATATATATATATATATATATATATATATCAAAAAAGGAAAGAACATGAACTCTGAATCCTGTTTGTCCCACTCATTGCTTTGTGACTTCAGTGGGTTACTTAACCTCTCTGTGCCTCAGTGTTGTTATAATGACGAAACTCACTGTACCCTCTCTAGATCTCTTTGTACACTGGCCTTTCCTCTGTGTTAACCACAGTGTCTTAAACTGGACATATTTTCCACTTACTTTTCCTTTCCTGAGAATGCATCTCACTGCTGCTGACAAAGATAAAAGGGACCTTCACTTTTTTTTTCACTTTTGCTTTTCCACACTAAGTCAGAGATGCCATGCTTGAGACACAGAAAGACACAGAACCTGAATAAGAAGTTACTATTGCCGAAACCGGTTTGGCTCAGTGGATAGAGCGTCGGCCTGCGGACTGAAAGGTCCCAGGTTCGATTCCGGTCAAGGGCATGTACCTGGGTTGCGGGCATATCCCCAGTAGGAGATGTGCAGGAGGCAGCTGATCGATGTTTCTCTCTCATCGATGTTTCTAACTCTCTATCTCTCTCCCTTCCTCTCTGTAAAAAATCAATAAAATATATTTAAAAAAGAAGTTACTATTGATACCCTGGCCTGGGGATGAGGAGTGAGGTTCTGCTACCTGGGTCGGTGACACACTGCAGTGTCATAGGCTGGGTGCTTGCACCTGCCTCTCCTGGTGGGACTGCTGGTGCCTGTCCTTGTTCCATCACAACTTGTCATTCTTGCCCCTAAGGATTAAAGCATCTCCGTAGTAGTGAATTACTGATTCTTCTGTTCTTATGTGGTACATATGGTTTTTAAACAAATTTAATTGTGATAAGAATATATAACATACAATTTACCATCTTAACCATTTTAAGTGGTTGTTTTGTTTTTTTTTGGGGGGTGGGGGAGGTTATTGTTTCTTTTCTCTGTGTGTGAAACATTTATCAGAAACCAGAAAACATGTTGACCCATTCCTAGGGAAACAGTGTTAAAGACGTGGAAACCTGGTTTATGAATTTAGACTCCTCTGCTTGTATACCGAGAATTCACTGCTACCATATCCTCACTGTAGATACAACCTGAGAGTCTGCATAACAAGAGGCATTTTGCTTTCCAGAAAGTTAGGTATATTTTTTCCAGCTTTTTTGACTTTTGGTCCTTAAGCTTTTTAAATCAGCCACAAAGGCAGACTTGCAGAAAAAGAAATGTGTAGAAAGTCAGATGTTTCTGGTCAAATATGGCATAGCTAGATACAGCTGGTGCTTTTTCTGGCAAAGAGAAAAATATGGGGAAATAAATACTGGTTTAAATTGATTTTATCAGTAACTAGAACAGGTCCTACGATACTTAATATGCTCAACAAATATTTGCTGAATGAACAAATCAGTGAAACAAATGATTTTTGCTAAGTTCAAAACAAACACGCATAATACTGTTGTTGCACAAAGAATCTGTTTCTACTTTCAAAAGTTTAGTGACTAACCTACAATAAAATTTGGTCCGAAGAGTAGTTCCATTAGGACACAGAGGCATGAAATTCCTGACCATACCTAAACGGACAATATGGAAATCACATTAATTGAGGAATTACCACCAATAATAAAAAATGACTGAGATAAAGGTTCATTTCATTATTTTTGAAACTCACTGTAATATTTAAATTAGCAACATGTGGAACACATTATAAAAGGAATGTCCCTGCCTTGGCCAGATGGCTTAGTTGATTGGAGTGTTATCCTCTACCCCAAAAAGATTGTGCGTTCCATTCCCGGTCAGGGCACACACCTTGGCTGCAGGCTCAATCATTGGGGGTGCATTCAGGAGGTGCATATGGAAGGCAAAGGATAGATGTTTCTCTCTCACATTGACATTGCTCTCTCTCAAACCAATAAACATATCCCCGGGTGATGATTAAATAAATAAATAAATGTCCCTGCTAAAAGAACAAGCCAAATTCTTATTAGAATAGGATTTGCTGTTATAAAGTTCTATGAGGACTTATCATTGGCATTCCCTCATATGCTATCTTATTTACCAATGAAACGTTTTGATGGTATAGTGCCCCAAATGTTCTATATTTCAAATTATTAACTGAAGAGTGGGCTTTCTTCAGGTTAGTTGGAATTAATGATATTTGCTTATAAAATCAGGCATACCTTTTATTTGAGAAAATAGTTGAAATCTTATGATTTGAGGAAATTAGGAAGTTTGTGCTTAGGCTCAACACATTGCAGCTAATTTTTAAAATCATACAGTTTAGCAGTAGAAATGGTTGAGTGCCTTGTTTTTAAAAGACCCCACTCTGGGGAAGACCGATTTGGAGATAAACAGCCGGCACCCAGCAGTGGTGCATGGCTAATGTGGAACGCGTGGGAGTAGGTTAGAAGCAGCTCCCACTAATGAGGTTAACCAACACAATCTAATCACCCAGACTGAGCACAAAGCAGGCAAACAGCCTAGAAGCAGGGAGCATTCAATTTATTTCTAAATTATTTCTGGTTTGCTTTTTTTTTTTTTTTTTTTTTTTTTTTGTATTCCACAGTGTCACCAAGTAGGTGGTAAGTGTTCATTTCCCTCTGTTTCCAAGTCTCGTTCAATTTCAAACATTGAAGTTCCCTAGTTAACTTACCGTTGAACCGTTGGCAAGATGCCTTTTCATTTAACATCTGTACAAGAAATTATTAAAAACCACTTCCCGGTGGCTGGGAAGGCCCTCTCATCCTGCCCCTTATGGAACCTCCAGTGGCAATGAACTTGGGAGGCAGCATCTCACAGAGACCCAAGGACACAGCCTGCCTGCCTGCATGGGGAGCGATGAGATCCCCAAACTCCCAGAGTGGCTAAGCATTCTTGTTGTTACTCACTTTATAATTTTTAAAGATTGATTCCAAGGTAAAAAAAAATTTCAGAAATTCTTAGCATGAAGAAGGTTGTTGGGAAAACCAGTTGAACTTGATTAATCAGGCAACGCCCCCCCCCCCCATATTTTAATGAAAATTGGAGTAAGACCTTTCTGAAGCTACATGTTATGCTTTGTGGCATTCAGTATGGGGTTGCAAAAATCTCCTCCCTCAAAGTAGAAATAGGTGTAGTGTTTCATTGTAATATAAATATGCTCATTGTAAAACCCTTCAGACAATAGGGAAATCTATAGAGAAAAAGTGTCATTGTATATCTCAGATATAACAACAGTTAGTATTTTGGTATAAAGCTTTCTACATTTTCCCATGACTTTACAAGCATTCAGATAATTATAGGGTATTTAAAAAAACACAGGATCAGACTATACACACTATTTAATGTGCCCTTTTACATAATTTCTATATTCACATATACATTTTCACCAGACCTTTTCATTCTTTGTATTTCACACATGCCATTTGTGGTTATTTCCAATATTTTTATGAATAGAAAGGATGTTCTTATACATATGTCTTTATATACTTGCCTCCGTGTATCTTTGCTATGAATACTTAAAATGGAATTGTGTAAGAGAATGTGGACTTTTATCAATATTGATAACAATTTTAAAATTGCTCTCCCCCCAAAAAAATCACATCGGTTTACCTGCCCACCCATATGGCAGTGAGCGCCCATGCCTCTCTATACCATTGGGAATCAACAGGTTGAAAAAGAAGTGATGCATTAGAGGGGACGTACTTCTAGCCTGTGGATTCGAGGCCATGGAAAGCTTCACCTGGGCGACCGGTTTGTGTTCCTGGCTGTTGAGGAAGGTCACCATCGCATACCCAGTGCATACATTTGTTTCCAGATTGGTAGAACTCAAGTTCTCCTTGTATAGCCTTCTGCCAATATCTCAAACCCTCCTCTTGCTCTTCTCCTTCAGATTGAGGAAGACACGTGGCAGAAATACTACTTGGAAGGAGTCTCCAATGAAATGTACACAGAGTATCTCTCCAGTGCCTTCGTGGGTCTGTCCTTCCCTACTGTTTGTGAGTAAGTGACCACACTCATATGCTCCTCGGGCCTCAGGGATATTCACTGGGTCCCCCTCAGGAAAGATGCCCACTGCTGCCCAGCACAGTGGGGACACTGGACACTTCGGGACTGTGTCCTGTGGGCTCAGCTGTGGGCAGTGAATGGGAAGGGGGGTCGCTGAGTGGTCTCTGCCTGGGGGACTTCTGCTGGCCATACTTTTCCCTCCAGTCCAGAGAATCTCAGGCGTGGTCCGTCATTTGTACTAAATTAGGAACTGCATTTTCCTGCAGATCTTGAATTATGCTCCCGTGATGCAGGCGCATTTATGAAGGGGAGGTGTGAACCCAAGTCTCTTTGATTTTACTAGCAAATCTTGCTAGCCCCTTGATGAAGGGATTTTTTAAAAAATATATTTTATTGATTTTCTACAGAGAGGAAGGGAGATAGAGAGTTAGAAACATTGATGAGAGAGAAACATCGATCAGCTGCCTCCTGCACATCTCCTACTGGGGATGTGCCCGCAACCCAGGTACATGCCCCTGACCGGAATCGAACCCGGGACCGCTCAGTCTGCAGGCCGACGCTCCATCCACCGAGCCAAACCAGTTTTGGCAATGAAAGGATTTTTAACCTCTTTCACTTAAGTCAGGTCATAGAGACATCAGAGAAGCCACTGTTCCAAGTGCCTTCTTGATTTGCTGAGGAAATGCGGAGCCGCAGGTACCAGAAAGAGACCTTGAAAAAGTCCCCAACATGGACAACTGTTATGTTACAAGTAGAGGTCTGATGCATGAAATTCGTGCAAGGGGTTTGACCCTCACAGCCACGGCTTCATCCAGAAGGTCATCTGGATGGTCGTCCTGCTGTTCAGTCTAATTAGCATATTAGCTCTTTATTATATAGGATAGTAGGAAGGCTCAGCTTCTCCTGACCCTGGCTCAGCAGGACTGATTTGACAAGGGCAGCCAAGGGCAGCCCCAGCCATAGATACAACAGTTGTCACCTAAGGGGTGTGACCTCAGGAGCTTCAGTGTCCAGGATCCCAAGAAACTTCCACCACCAGGACGATGCCTCAGATCCCTCCTTAGGATCTCAGATGCTGGGTTTAAGTGAAACAAGGGCTTTGTTCCCTGTGAAGACACCAAGCGTTGAAACATTCAGCCTGATCCATTGACCCCTTAGCAAGGGATTTGATAAGCTGTCTCCCTGATACCAACTGGGAAGAAACAGGGGAATCTGGGGAGCCATTGAAAGAAAAGCTGCTCCCTTGTGCTTGTCTGCCTGCCTAGACACCACACCGACCCTCTGGAAAGGAAGATCTGAGGAGGGGGCTCTCGGCTTCCCCTGGCTCAGTCCTGTTCTGTACACTGTGGGGAGGGGCCGGGCTTGGGGTTTACCTGGCGACGCCTGTCAGTGAGCACAGCAGGTGCGCTCTGTCTGTCCCTGGCCCAGACCCTGAGCAATCCAGAGTGGTTTGGCTGTTGACTGAAATTTCTCACCCTGTCTCTATGCGAAAGTTTAAATGCTAAATGGACTGGAAAAGTGAATAGGTAATTGATTCCGAAGAAGTTATTTTCTGAGAATGGATGCCCTGTTGTAACTCCCATGGTCTCCTGTCTCTGAAAGCGATTTCTCTCTGAAACAGAAAGACGTTAACCGTTCAGAGGCACTGGCCCTGCAGCACTGAGGCCGTCCCTGGGGACTTTCTCCACCATGGAGTCAGGCCCGCCTAGCACAGGAAGCGCTGAGAATTCGGGACTTCCAATAGGAGCTGGCTCTATGAACAGCAGCTGTGGCCTCCGGTGCCTGGAGGAGGGGTAGTGTGGGCACACCGCAGGGCTGAGGGCTCCTATGGCGTGGGAGGCATTGGCAGGGAGTCTTCTAAGCCCTTTCCTTGGTGGTTGATGTTCCCTGGCTTAACCTGTGTTTACATCGAACATGAGTGCGCCCTTGAAAGCCTGCCTTCCCCCTGCTTCTCTGCTGCTCCTGGGAACCTAATCAGAGCACAGGCATGCTGACCTGTAGGGGTAGGGCTGCTCGCCCTGGAAGCGGCTAAATGTGACCATGAATTTGCCCATCACAATATTTCATTTTTTAAAGCAAGTTAATTGCCAGAATTTCAAAATAGAAGTATTGTACATAAAAAGTAGGTTTTGGCCTCTCCTGAAAATCTGATGATCCAACACAGGACTTGCATTTCCCCTGAGTGCTACTGGCTCTAGTTTGCTGTAGGGGAGGTTGGTGCAAGCCCTCCAGTCCCTGACCGTATATCCCAGGCCAGGTCTGCATTTCCAGCCCAATCCTGGCCTGCGGACACTGGAGCCTGCATTGCTGACCCACGGGGCAGCGTGAAACCTCACTGCCCTTCGGAGCCAGCTCAAAAGCCGGACACTGGTGGCTGCTGAAAATCCTTCCCTCGATTGATTTTCAAGTTTAGAACATGTCCCGAGGAGGAGCGAATCCCTCAGACACACCTTGTTGTCAGAGAATTTAGTATTTGTTCAGTACAGAGTCTGGAACACAATAAAACAAAAACCGTCTGATGTGAATGAGAATGTGTTCAACTTAGTGCCATTATTCGTTTAACACAACGATACAGCAGAGGTAGAAATAATCAATAAAGGAAGGACATTTAATGAGATTTAGGAACATCCCAAAACATTGAAGCTCTCCTCAAGCATTTGATTATCTAGAGGCTTAATTATCTGTGTTTTCTACTTTAAATTAAAGAAAAGCCATAATTCAAAGTTACCAGCAGTTTAATGATAACACTCTTCAATTCAGGTTAATTAAAGCACAGCCGTAATTAGAGTGTAGTGTTGTATATCACCGGGCAGGCGCATACGTATTTTCATTACAGTAAGAATTGGCTACTCAATTTCAAGATGACATAAAGGATGCCAAAGTATATTTTAAGCTGCTTCATGTAGACAAAAAAGAATTGGGGGATATTCTGGGTGTAATAAAGCACAGATCAAATACACAGATTTTTAGAGCGGTTTCTGTAATTATGCACCACATTAAAACAATAGGCAGCACATAACATCTTAAAGCATAAAAGAAATAAATGTGCTCTCCCCTCGGGCTGGCAGAGTGCCCTCTGCAGGGTGGGATCGCAACACAGGAGAGCTCACTGCTATCTTAGAAGCTGAGAGAGGCATTCTGGGGAAAGACAAGGGGGCAGGATAAAGGGGTGAAATTCAAGGTCTTTCCCCAAGAGAACAGAATGCTTTAGGAAGAGAGGCAGGCAGGGCAGAAGGCCGCCCAAGGCAAGCTTTTTAAAAAATCTCAAGTGGAGAGATGCTCTCTCTTGGCCTAGGGAGGTGCAGCTATAGACGTTGACTTCTGAGCCTCAGTTTTGTTCCAAAAACAGTAACTAATTTAGATAAAATGCAATATCTAAATATTTCAGTTACATTTTCTCATTGAATCCTCATAATAGTTCTGAGATTCAGTGTCACGATCCCTGGTTTATACACTGAACATGTTGATGCCCCTTCCCACGCCACCTCCCAGACAAGTTGCAGACCTGGTTTTCCGATGGTGGGCCTTGTGTGATGGGGAGCAGCTTCGAGTAGTTGCTAGATGAGGGCTGGCTAATTAAGAATCTCCTGGGAACTTATTAGATGGAGAGGTTTCTAGGCTATATCTTCAGATTTTAGTATCTGGGGTAAGGCCCCCACATTTGCATTTTTTACAAACAAATCAGGTGATTGTGATACAAAGTTTGATGGCTGGGAACCCTCATGGTCCCCACCCCTCCACACCACAGACTGGGGTAACCTCTCTTATTCACCTCGGGCTCAGACACTGGAATGTTTCTCTCTGATTTTAGCCCAAGCCTAGAGGCGTGGGTGGGCGTCACCTTGAAGCTAAGAGTCAGGCCTTAGTGTGCGCCTTCTTATCATCCTTCCTTCTCCACGTAGGGTGCCCTGCACTCTCCAGGGACATGGGAAGGAGCCTGCTGTCTTGCACGCCAGGCAGACCACCAACTGCTCTCCCCACTCCCTATGCTGAATCCAGATCAGTACAGCAAAACAACGTGGAGTTCCAAAACCGTAATGCTCTGGGTTATGTTTCCATGAGGGATCCTACCAGCAGTTTCAGGCTGGGGAGAACAGATACACACTAACTGTAGCAAAGCCCAGAGGAAGTTCAGGTTGCACCACTCAGAGCTGCCTCTTGGCCTCGTTGGAGGTCATGGTGGGATGTCCTGGACCTTCCCCAGAATGCCCTTCAGATGTTCCTTTTAGAGGCCAGCGCCTCCTGAGCGTTTCCCCTTGGCTTTGCCTAGCCGGCTTGTTCCTGGGCCCATGTGGCAGCAAGATCAAGGCAAAGGAGCTTGGGGATCTGAAGGAGAGGGTGCCATCCGTTGTTGTCTGAACACCAGAAAACCACTCACTTTCTTTCCCTCCCACCCCCACCTTCCTCAGCAGGTGACTGGAGGGTGCAGGTGGCTGGGGTATGAAAGCAAGGGGCTAGGGTATGAGGCCATATTTCCTAGGGAAGTGCCCTGCCCTTGAGCAGTTTACATAATGGGATGCTGTGTGATGACATGCAGTGTGAGCTATGGAGATGCTGGATACATGATTTTGGACGAACTATTTGATTTCTGCATACCTCCTCCCTTTGACCGTTACCAGCTGCCTGATCTAGGACTGGGTGCTTACTCCCAGTTTCCTCATCTCTGAAAGAGGAATGACATTACTTATCTCTCAGAACCAGCTAATGTCCTTTTCCCCTCTTCCACCTCTCCATGTCTCCCCCCCCACCACCACCACCACTCTGTCCTGCCCCATCAAAGATGATGGAAGCACAGAGGAAGAAAAGAATTACACTGGCTTTCTCAGGTTATATCTACCCCTCCCCTTTAGAAAATTCTGCCATCAGTCACCAGCCAACCAATTGAGTAGATATTTTATGAATGTGGGATGTTAGTGCCAGTGTGCCAGGCCTGGTGCCATCTCTAGAGGAGCCTGCAATTAGATTTGATCAAATATATGCACAGTAAAAGATTA